GGCGGAAACCGCAAGGAGATGTGTTAAGCACAGCCTTCTCGAAATGCCGGGTCCAAAGGGCTTGTCTCCCCTGCAAGCATCAGGCTTGTTTGGGTCGCGTGTGGGACGTTTCAGTACGTTCTGCGTTTCAAAAGCCGAAAAAGTTTCCAGAGGCCTGTCAAGGATACCTGCACACCCATCATGATGGATCTAGCTTGCTTCAGTATGTCGAGCAAGTTGGAATCTTGAACTCAAACTTCACGTTGTCTGGCTGTAGCTTGGATTTGGCTTCGAGAGATGGGAGCTTTGCTGAGCCACTGGACCCGGCCCCAGGCTGCCAAAAGGACACATCGGATGGGCTGGGCGGCTCATGTTGCATAGTGAGACATGAAATGGGCTAGGACAGGAGGGACGTCAAGAAACGAGCAGTGAAAATGCAAGCGGAGCGTTTAAAACGTGGACGTGAAACATGAACGAACGATGATTCGTGCTTGGCAAGCAACTCTGGAGACCTACATGTACCGGCCATCATGTGCAAAATCTGACATGGTCCGCACGGATCCGGACGGGTCATGCGGACTAGCCTCGCCGTGGTAGGTCTTTGGTGAGGTATCGCCAGCTTCATCTGACATCAGGCCTTCTCCCACCTGTGCAAAATGCCCGATACCAACAACAAAGCCTGACAGATTCATGAATGGCCTCCTTTGCTTTGCCTGCTGCTTTCGCACCCTTCTTGTCCTGCGACATATCATCAAGCAATCGCCATACGAATCCGCACGATGTATGCATGATAGACGTCAACTATCACATTGACAAGACAGCGCAAGGCTGAGCTTGGTCCTTGCCACCTCCGCGACGTCTGATCTCTGCTCCACCACCAGAGCTTTGCAAGCCCTGCAGGGTATAAGCAAGCAACGTCGCTGGTGCGTTTACCAGAATCCTGAGCCTCGGCTTCATGAAGCAAGTCATGCTGGCCAGGTTCCAGCTTCTTCGGCGGAGCAAGCAGCCACAATGCATTCCGAAATGCGGAAGGCACCTTGTCAGGACGATTTAAGCGCAGAAATCCTGCCTGCAGGTGCTTCTACTTGCTTAAGACCCGGGCTTTCCAGGACGATGGCCACCACGGCTTTCCTGGTTCGTCCGGCATATCTGTTGCACGATTCCAGTCTGGCCATGCCAAATCCAGGAAGCGCATAGCCTTGACTGTGTTCTTTCTCTTCTCACGCACAGCAAGGCTCAGTACAAAAAACAGCTGAGCCCGGGACCATCACGATGTGTGCAAAGTATGTGAGGAAAACAAATACCCATGTGAGGATGACCGTGGTAGGAGAATAAAGATGCCGATACTCCAGCGTGGTGGCAGTCACTGCAAAGTAGGGCGCAAGGTGGCCAATCCACTCAGCGTTCGGGAGCATGTGGTTTCCGGAGGTGCGGACGACGTCCAGACGAAGGATCAGCACTTGAGCCGCCATGAAAAGCATGGGCATGGACCATGAGATCCAAAAACCACGAAGCTCTGCTGTAGTGGTCCCGATGCAGTAATAGCAAACCTCGTAGTATCCGCAAATCCGCAAATCTCTGGCTGATTGCCGGACATGGCTTCTGCTATTCAGCCAAGCAGCTGCATACAAGAACTGGCAGGACCCATATAGCATCAGGATTCGAGCGTAAACATCGTACTGCCACCATTCTTCTTGGGCCTCAGCACGTCAGCACTAGGTCCAGGCCCCAACCCATCAAATGCCAGAGGAGCACCGCGAGAAGCATCTTGAAATGATCTGGCGTCTCATAAGGTTCGAAGTCATCACGAGCAGGTAACCTCAGCGCTTCAAAAGCTACTTGCGTCTTTGTCATACAATTTCGCCTGCCATGAAAGGATCTCAGCAGTGGACCCCATGAGTCCACCACCCTTGTCGACTACCTCAACGAAATTGACTCCAGGCTCAGTAAAGCTCAGCTTAACCACGCTTGTCACGAGAAATGAGAGCCAAGAATCTAGCCAAACGCAACTTGTATGCGACGAAGGACCAAGAGCCGTGGCAAGGAAAGAGCACAACTAGCAGGAACTAGCAAATCTTCGATGTAGTCCCATTGCTTTCAGATGCTCTCAGTAACTTGAACTTATCCGAACAAATCTGCTCAGGCAAACATGACGTATGTCCCTCAAGGCAACTTGCAGTCTCCAAGCGAACTGTCGCTGCTGACAGTTTGTCAAACGAGGCACTTAACATCACTTAAGGATAATCATCCCAGCCTGTTCATCACGAATCCATGACGGAACGGTGTCGCGGGCCGTGCTGCTGAACTCTGTTCTCGGATCCGGCAAATGCACCTGGCTTGTCATGTGCACAGCACAGAGTAATGACAGCTTCTGAAAGAAAGCTCGGCCTTCGATGCCTTTTTCTTTCCTGCTTTTTTGCCGTCCTTGCTCCCCTTCTCCTTTTTGTCATCGTCATCCTGCCAGGCACCAGAAGCCACACATGACTGCAAGGCGCCAGCCTGTGAGGAGCCTCCCCAGAGTCACCAGCATCAGCGGGCGGAAGTTCCGGCGCATCTTCAGGATGACGCATAAATGGCACCTCACATCCCCATTCAATTGAGGTTCAGCATGGCTGCCACACAGAACCAAAAATCGCCGCAAAAAGATGCGCAGGATTCTTGTGCTAGCCGCTAGCCTATTTGTGCTAGCTGCTAGCACACAAGGCAAGCATAGGAATCACAGAGGTCCCGGCTCGGAAAATGTCGCCAAACTTCTGTTGCTCAAACGCAGAGCCAAACGAGCGGGCTGCATCGAGTTGCGCCATGGATGGAATTGGCAGTCTGACCTTTCGGGTGAGCAAAGATGTCATGGCACACCTCAGCTAGCAAATCATGGGCAATGCGAGCCATACGTTTCATACATTGAGTGCAGCAGCTGATTGCAGCAGAGAGGCTGCGCGCGAAGTGATCCATGCATGCCCAGCCAGAGTGCGGTACCACAGTACAAAATGGACGTGTAGATGTGGCCTGACATCATGCAATCAAGCTGGAGGTATTGCAAGCAAGTTTTGGAAGTTCGACTCCTGCCTGAATAGAGTCCGCACAGCCACTGGGGAGGAGCGCAGCCGTGCATCCCAATCCGTCCGGCATCTGAAAGTGCAGCACAAACGCAAAGTACGAGAGTCATCATGGCCTGCACTGTGTCCATCTTCGATGACGTCAGCTCTGCAATTCCATGGACATCCTGACGGTACTGGCCGACTTGCGCATTTAGCATCCCACGCGAGGTCATGAAGCGCCCAAAGCGCTGGGGAACATCATACTGGAAGTTCGCGCGGTTGTAGTCGAAAAGCCATTTGCCTGTGAAGGCTGTCCCTGCAGCCGCTGCTGCTGCTGGCACATGCATGGCTGGCACGCTTCCGCTCAGGGAAGATGCGTTAGCCAATCAGAAGCCAGGCACTAAGCCCTTTTGGACAAAGCAGCAGCAATAGCATGCGCAGTTTGTATGGGCGATTACACATGTCAAAATTTCATGCAACCTTTGATTGATATTAGCACATAAGATTCAGACAGTGTTCGCCGCTCCCGGAGCTGCCGCATTCGGAGAAAAAGACTGCGATCCCAAAGTCTGCGATCCTCCTGCTACGACCTGGATCACGAACAAACATCACAAGCGATCTAGGCCATGGTAGCAAGCCTTTGCCATGGAGCTGGGAGATGATGCCGCCATTACAACCTGAGAGCACAACAAGCAAACGCATTTCACAGCAACCACATCCACATGTCATGGGAATCAAGAAACCGATGTGGCCGATGTGGCCAGCTGCTTTGCAGCTTCCACTTCAAGTACACCAGCATCTGATGGGAGCCCAAAGGGTCTGAAAAGTACATGAAACTAAGCTTATCATCACAAGCCACTAGCGCTCACTGATCCAATTTTCGCTGGGCACAAACTCAAGCAACAACCGACATGTTCATTGCGCAATCCGCTTATGCTCGGAGGCCTGGGCCCTCCTGCGAAAACAAGATCTTTTTTGTTCCGTCGACTGGTTTCAACACCTGAGAAATTTTGGCCACTTGCCGTACGGGGAAAGGACAAGGGAGAGTTCCCCAACACACCCCTCACCCTTCTCCCGGCACGGATTTCCTTCACCAAACCCAGGCCGTGAGCTTCCAAACATGTAGATACGATTTGCGTTTGAATTCCTTTGATTTGGCAACCATGGTGAGTTTCCAAACATGTAGATACGATTTGCGTTTGAATTCCTTTGATTTGGCAAGCATGGTCCATCAAGCAAAACGACTAGCTTTCTGGCATTACGTTACTAAAGAATGGGTCAACGAAAATCGCATCATTTCGTTCGAGCGCTCACATGTTGATCAGAAACCCCAACGCATCTTGAAATACCATCCGCATGCACATGTCGAGATGTCGCATGTTTTAAGGCAAACAACATAAATACGGTCATGAATACTTGTTGCGGAATCCGACCTGAACATACCGAACTACCAAACTTGAAATGATCCCGACATGTAGACGGCATCCGACACAAAATTTCGTCTAACAAACATTGCGGATGTAACACTTTGAAAGACAATCTGGACAACATGCTGCGTACTAATCAGTGGCTTGCACATCCTTTTTCTCCCATGCTCTGAATGTGTCCAGGCGTTCTTTCGCAGGATGGATCACATGTGATGAGAAATCTTCACCACCGAAAAAGACCCGTCTGGAGAAAGACCTCAATGAACTTGGGTGGGAGGGTGGGAGCTTGAGCAACATCCGCAGGTCAACCATCCTTCGCTCGTCACTATTGTCAGTGGCTCGCACATCCTCTTTCTCCCATGCTCTGAATGTGTCCAGGCGTTCTTTCGCAGGATGGATCACATGTGATGGGAAATCTTCACCACTAAAAAAAAAAAACGTTCCCAACATATAACGCCTGGCAAAGAGTTCCTCAAGTCCAAAGAAGGCTCCAGCATTTACTGGGTATGTTGACTTTGCTCCAAAACTGCACTTGCTTCAGTATGTCCGAAAAAGACTGCACCAGGTAAAGAACCTTTGAGCGGGCTGCTTCCGGGAGGTCTGCCACGAAGGTTGAGGCCGCAACTTCTTGGAGATAGATCTCCATCAAGCGATGGGACACCCGTCGGCCTCGCCTCCTCGCAAGCTCGCTGTCCTCGGTACACTGAAGTAGGAAGGTTGCACCACCAGGCCGAAGTGACCCCAAATCCAGAGGGCGGGAAGGCCCTCTTGCAGTTGGGATTTGAAGCCGTTCAAGAACTGTGTCGAAACGTTTCCTCAGCGGTTGGTTCGAGTGGGGCCACAGCCTCGAAGTCTTCGGTAAGCTCTCGAAAGCCAAAGAAACAATGCTGACCAGATCAGAAGGCTCCAGCTTCGCTGCCTGGCGCTTTGCTGCTCTGCCCCTTGTCTTGGGCTCGTCAATCTTACCAATATAAAATCAGATGTTACAGACTTGATGT